ATAGTATATTATAAGTTGTTTATACTATTAAACACTTATCACATCAATTAGAATAAATTTTGATATTTTTTAATACCAATAACACTATTTTTAATACAAAAAATCATCTAAGATCTATGAATTCAACGCTTCTACATTAAATATATATTAGATTATTGGTTTGCACCTCCAGAATTTATTCTTCAAATTGATATTTAACTGGTTAATTAAAATTTGTCTCACAAACATTAAGTAAGGCACTCGAAAGCATCTAAATAGTTTATATAAAGTATTATAAATATTAGCATATTTATTAATGCTTGGAATTAGTTAAAAGGTTATTTGATTGAATTACAACTTTCCAATGTACGTATAATTCCTGAAATAAGGTTTTCTCAATTCATCAGTTTTAATGACCTGAGAAAGCATCCTTGAAATTTATCTTAGTTAATGAACAAGGAAGATAATTTTATAAACATTTAGACATTAAGATAATTGGAATTTAACGAAAGTACTTACAGGAAGTATGATTGAAATTGAATTTCTCATCACTATATACATTTTTATAATCTAGGGTTTTTAAACCATAACTTAGATGTTTCAAACTGTAATTAAAGAAGCTTAATCATCGAATCGTATTCTAATATTCTGATCCCTTCGTCAATCTTTCATTAAATTATAAAACTTTCATGATGAAATTATCTCTTGAATTATATATGTAAATCCCTACAAAAAAACAAAAAATTATGTCCTTCATACCTAGTAATGGAGAATTTTTAAAGAAAATTATTATTGGAAACTAATGGAATACTCCTAAAGATAACTGGAATAATTGAAGTTTAGGATTGTGTATAATTTAGTATATCAAAGAATTCTTAAATAATTAATACCGGAGAAGAGTATTAAATTTAAATTTTACATAACTTATTTACAATTAATTAAATTCTAATATTACCATCTTATAAATTTATCAATTTATCATATATGAAATTTTTTTCTAATTATGACAAATTAGAGATTTCTAAACCAAGAGATATTATACTATTAAATATCATTGTGTATTCTATTGCTCATTAAAACAAGATTTTCAAAACTAAATTATCTAAAGCCTAATAATCTCAGTTTAGATATTGTCTTAAATATAAAAGGATACATCATTTACAAATTAATAAAAACAGAGATTAATTTTCTCAAAACATAACACATTGTATATTGTTACGTAAATGGAATGAATTAGCAGACTATATCCATAAAATATTTAGATAATATTGATGTATCTAAAATAGCCCCTGCAGTAGCAACTAACAAATTAAGCTCCTGAAAATATATATATTAGCATTAGAAGTTTAGACAAGTACTACTTCAAGCTTGAAGTGCTCTGAAATTTTAACCTATATAATATTGAAAAAATTTCTAAGATCTTACTACTTTACAAGGGTTTATTAATATTATACAACATTGATGATAATAAACATTTTGACAGAGTTGGCAAATTACCTCGCAATAGACCATAATAGATTTGGTTTAATATCCCAACAGGTCATATTCCTAACAATTAAAATCCCAAATTGTCAAAATCCCAACAGTTAAAATCCTAACTAAAAAAAATCCCCAAATTAAAATCTCACTATTAAGATTTTTAATTTTGCATTTTTTAGTTAGGATTTTAATTATTAAGTTTTTGACAATTTGGGATTTTAATTGTTAGGCATATGACCTGTTAGGATTTTTAATGTTGAGATATTAAACTAGACCACCATAATGTTATTGGCTAGCTGCGAGGTCTTTTGAGCCAACTTTGTCATTTTAAGGCTCAACTCAGGTCTAAATTTAGCATTTATAATGGCAAGTTATTCGTGAGAATTAATATATTGAAAAATTAGCTAAAAATAGTACAGTAGTGATATTTATTATGTAAATAGAAAATATAAGAAGAGAGAAAATGAATTATTAATTCATGCCCTTTATCTCGGAAAGCGATTGAATACTGTAATAAAAACAAATTAATAAATAAGTTCGATTTTATTTATTTATTTTAAGAATTAGAAGTTACTTTATATAGCTATATTTGTAAGAACCTTAAGATTATTAATCCCTTGAAGCTTACTAAGAAATATTTCAAGAAGTTTAGTTACAAATGTACTTACTTTTTAATCCAAATTTGTAAGAAATTAAGAAGATTTTTATTTATGTTTTTTAAGATAGATAAAAAAAAAATCAGTCTTTTCAACTAATATTTCGTATTAAAACTTTACTTCATCTTGAGACAAAGAAAATAATACCAATTAATTTCCTTGTCCATTATACACTCTAATTCAATCCTATAAATAATCTAAAATGAATTAGAATGTTATATAAAGGCGCAAGTAATAAGTCAGAAACTATTCAGTTTGCTGCAAGAGAAGTAATATAAGAATCTTATAAAAGGTATTATTGTTAGTGGGTCTCAACTATTTAACGATTGCACATAAATAATTTTTAAATAGATAATAAGTGTAAATAAAAGCATTACCTAAATTATTAAGTAAATTTTTGAGATGAACAAATGGAATTAAAAAATCGACTTCTTATTATTCATTAAATAGGGAATAAAACGTACGTTACTTATTGTATACATACTATGCAAGCAATTTCCTGCATTAGGGTGTTTCAAAATTAACTTATTTTGAAAATAAATGGGAGTTTAGAAAATCTTAAAATTGTTTTTAAATTCCGAAATTGGAAAGCTAAATAATAACATCCGGTTACGAAATTTATAAAGAAAATAGGATTCATACCTTATATTTGAAAATTAAAGTGAATAATAATCTATATGTTCAATACCTAAATATTACTTAATTGTCGTTCGAGACGGTCAGAAGTTAATTTACCTAAATTAGTTTGATTGGTTGGTAGTTTAGGGCACATTGACAAACGTATAAATCTGGTATTTAACTCCGATGAACGAGTAGTTATGCATAAATAAGCCTATTTATGCATGGTATTAAGGAAATGTGGGAGGTTTTTCCATTAAGTGATTTCGCGCATACAGTACTGTATATCTGATATATACGTAGCTACGTATCTGACAATGACGTATTTCAATGAACACTTTAAATATCTAAATTGACGTATTTCAATAAACACTTTCAATATCTAAATATAGATAACAAAAAAATGCTTAAGTTTTAATTTTAATACTAACCTTAATATGGTGATTGAGACTTTTTTTAACATTTTAAACCAAATTAATCTAATATATACAATTCAGAAAGTTCGGTTTACAGATGTAATTAATAAGAACTTTATAATAAAATTTAAAGTTCTTTTTGATAATTTATTAAGATTCGGTTATTCGAGAGAATAACACACGTAAAGTTCACCGGAGCATTTAATGTTGGTTATTGTTATCTTCATGGAATTGGAGTTGAAAAGGATGAACATAAGGCATTTATTTATTATCAAAAATCTGCCGATATGGGTGATGCTATGGGAACATATATGGTTGGTTATTGTTATCGAAATGGATTTGGAGTTGAAGAGGATGAACAAAAGGCATTTATTTATTGTCTAAAATTAGCAGAAATGGGAAATGCAGTTGGAATGTCAGAAGTTGGTAAATGTTATCGAAATGGAATTGGAGTAACAAGAGACATAGAAAAAGCCAACTATTGGTATCAAAGGTAAACAAAGTGTTTAATTACATTTATTTGATAATAATTCACATAATATTCACATAATAAATTTATGTGTTAAATAAACAATTAGAGAGAAAACTATAGTTCCAGGTAATTTCCATTGCCGATTTCAATTTAATACAAAAACTTCTGGCTTTGAATTTATCACATATCAGAACTCTGATATACTACATCGTTAATTAGATTTGTCAAAAGTTAAGTGACAAATTCAAAATCAGAAGATTAATTTTCTTTTGTCGGCATTTAAAATTTGGTTATAAATTATGATGCGAGTTTAAAATATTATATTAACAAGAATTTATGATTACGTAATAGTCACCGAAGAATCGATAGTTATTTTTTTTATTATGAAAATATAAATTTCTTATTCTTTGGAACTTAAATTTGATTTGTGCAATATATTGGTTTATAATACGTAGGCAGTTTTAAGGGCTATACATATCTTGTATTTACTTAAATATTTTTTTAGCTTCAAAAGCTAATGATGTAATTGGCGTGTTAAATTTTATTAACAGCTTTCAGAATATACGTTTTAAGTAATTGTTAAAAAAATTTATCATTTTTAAAATAATCAACACATCATTAAAGAGCTTTCGTCGTTTTTGTTTCATGTAGCATGACTTAATATCTTTAAAAGGTCAAGGCATAGTTATGTATGTTAAATTTTGCCGAAATGCTTTATTAAAGATAACGTATTTTGAGTATGTAATTTAAAAAACGGATGTCATTCTTTACAACTAATTTTAAGTACTGTACATGAATGCGATGTATATAATTATAATATTTATTATTATTACTTAAAGCAGAATGCTCGATAAATTAATTAAATGTTGATTTTCTTTATTTAAAAAAAAAATTAATTTGTTAATCTTTTGTTCTTAATGTTAAGTCATTTTTTAATTTAATTAAATGTTTTTATTGGTCGATCTTAAAAACAAAATACAAGTTTCATATGAGACTGATTTGACTAACTTTGTTTTAAGATGTCTATTGTCTTAAACATCACTCAAATTCGGGTGGCTAAAATTTTAAAAATTTATCTAATATTAAGGTTAGGGCCATTTTCAAGTTAGATTTTATGAATGTGTATAGATAAAGTTGCCTCCCCGACATTTTTTATTAATGCTCCGAGGTGAGTTTAGACTACTATTTTCTGTATTTTTTTTCTCCTGTTTTGCTTCTTCGGTTAGTTAAAATTTGATTGGTCGATCATCTATCCAAAATTGGCAAAGATAGATCATGTGCTTTACGGTCTCGTCAACAATTTTGTAAGAAAATATTTCGATATTCGTTCTAATGTGTAACGTTTCCTGATAAAATTATATATAGACTGTATATTTTGTGATGACTTTGGTAAATTCTACACGCGTTCCAGTTAAGGGCTATAACCTCTTATTAACTCTTTCAAATCTTGTCCTTGGAACAAGAGTCGACATTATCAGAGTTATAAAATCCTTTTCACCTCCAAGAAAATGTAAGGGCACAGGTAAGATACATACATAATTCTTTATTATATATTTAAAACGATATTATTTTAACCTTTATTCCCTTTTACCAAATGAAGACTGGTTATGCTCGATTCAAATAATGGACCCTTCACTTACTGGTAAAGTAACGGTCATTATGTTTCGCGCCCAACCATACAGAATTACCAGAAGCAAATATAGGCAGCATTTTTGTGGGAACTGGACTCAGGGTATATAATTTTCTAACTTATACTATACTTGAAAGGAATATTGATGGTTTTTTTTTTCTGAATTAAATTAAGGTCAGTTATTACATGAATGCACCACAACTTATCGCTTATAAAGTTAAATCTAAGTGTACAATAATGAATGATATCAACTTCAGAGCGAATCGACCCTTATATTAACTCATCAAAGATCTGCCGAGATCATTGCTTATGCTGAAATTAGTGGAATAGTATTGAGAATATTTATTCTGCGCAACAAACATCACGTAAATTAATCAACATTGCTGACATTCCTGGTCCGAATGTTTTTTCGACATTATTGCCGAGGTAAGAATTTATATCAACAAATAAATTAATAATGAATTCATGCAATAATATTCTTTTTATAAATATTTAGATTGTTAAGATTCCAGTGTTGGGCTGACCAGACCAATTCGACCATTTGACCAGACCAATTTGACCAATGACCAGTCCGGTCAAGCATCTTTGACATTGGTTAAGTTGATCAAATGGTCTAGTTATATGAACAAATCGACCAATCAGACCAATTTGACTATAATCAAATTTGCTTGATTGGTCTGATTTGTTAATTTGGTTCATATTGTTAGACCATTTGACCAATTTGACCAGACCAGTTTGACCAGAAACCCTTTGACCAATGACCAGCAAATTTATAGTCGACCACTAATTTGACCAACAGTGGTTGAGATACATAGAGTAGAACTTATAACAGAGTTATATATTACCGATTATGAGTTACTTTGTAATAATAACTTGTTACCAGATGGACTTAATCCATCTAATGTATTACAAATTAGTTTATGGGAGAATATACGAACAAGTATCATAATTCTAATCAATTTCAATGAGTTATTCATGGTGATTCAAAAACGCGAAGAACGCGACTAATGCAAATAGACTCGAACTCATCTGATGTAATAGAATTGATAACGTAAGTACTGAAAGATTTTGTTTTTATCAATTTACTTTATTTAATGTATAATATTTTTATATATGTGCTTAAGAACAGTATTCGGGCAAGTTTCAAAGCACGAACTAATAGTTTAAGGGTAACATCCCTAGAAAAGTACGGCATATGGTTACACTATATGTTTTTTTTTTAATTTTTCAAAATATCGATAGAAGTCTCTGAAGCTGAAATTTACCTATAAACTCTATAATACAGTATTAAGTTATTAAGTTATTAAGCATCTCGTGCGAGATAAAATTCACTTATACACCATCTCTAATATATATATACTGTATATATATAACTTATAGATTCGATTCTCGGGATATATAATTTTGAGAAAAAAATTTTTATGTTATGCGATAAACTTTTAAACTTTTTTATAGACGGTCATAGGGATACAAGTAAAACAATCCCATACAACACTTTACTTGCAATCATATGTTTTAGAGGTTAAATTTAAATTTCATTATAATTTGCGACATTATTTAGTATTTTCATATACATACTGATATTCAAAATCCCGAAAGCTTAATAATTTGGTAATTACAAATGTTAACAAAGTTCTTTTTACCTATATTATTTACCCGTGCTACAATAGTAGATAATTAGTTGTCGGTCTTCGTGCATGACCAACGATTTTAATATTATAAGAGCTACCTATTTTAAGTTTTCTTATGCGGATTTCTCGTAATATTATATAATACGATAAGTCCGCTATAGTAAAAGTTTAAAAGTAATCAACTAAAGGTTCATTATATAAGCTCTAATATATATAATTATTATGTTTTTCATCTAAAATTTTCAACCGATTAATCTCTCAAAATCAAGTCTATCCATACTCGTAGTCATAGATTAGGAAAGACTAATGAGGATAAAAAATTTGGATTAGAGAAGTTGTCATTAGAAGAGGATAAATACGCTTAAATTTAAACCGACCAGACTATAGTAGATAAGGTATTACCACGGTATAGTATATTATATCGAATATGTATCTAGTAATAATGTTGTACCGTACCCAATACTCAAACTATATAGTAAAAAGGGTAATGCCTGCTTTTTTTTAAAAAAAATTATATAGTTAAGTATTTGTTTAATTGCGATTATATTAATTTCTCTGAAAAAAATAAACATTTAATGCGTTAATAATCCAAGTTTAAATAAAATTAGTTTTTTTGTCAATATTTATAATTTTCTATTCTTAAGATGAATATTGAAGTTTTATTTTTAGAAAGATGCTTAAAATAAGGAAATACAGTAAATATTGAACACAATCGTAATATAAAATGGCAGAAGAGTGAAAAATATGGTCTAGAACCAATGAAAAAAGGAGATAGCTAATAATGAGAATGCGTTTTGTACAAAAACACAACTAATGGAAAAATAGAGATGCAGAAACCGCTGAAGAGCGAGAACTACATATGAAACATTAATTCAATAAAAAAGAAAATAGACGCTTATTAAAAAAAATTTATTATTAAGAATGCTAACGTCTCTTGTGATTTGATTTATAGCTCAAACAGAATATCAAATTTTCATCAAAAAAGATATTTTGTGACAGAAGCTTTCAAAAAATTTCTTTAAAAGTTTAATTAAAGCTGAGATTATAATAGGAATCATCTAATGAAATTAAAAACGAATAGAGATTCTTCAGTACTGTAAAGAACTAAATAAACTTATAAAACCTTATACTGTAAATATTATTATTTCCAATTTTTAATTGCTATCTAATTAATTTCCAATTAAACTATTTCTATTTCTGAATCATTTATTTCTAGATCGTGTAGTTTACTATCTATAAAAAAGAATAAATGTTAATAAATTCGTATCAAGTAGAATAATTAATAAAAATTTTACTGTAACAAATTTTATTATCTAATTTAAGTAGTTTACTTAAAAGTTTTATACTAGCTACTATATCTAAAATTTATTTAAAAATTTTCTATTTAAACTCTTTAGCTATATACTATTTCTGTTCTACTATCTTTTATTATCTAAATTCACCTAACCTTATACTACTTTTCTTTTCAGAAAATATCAACAAAGCTAACATATATTTATAAACTTTATAATTCAAAGCCTAGGCTAATCTTAAGTACCCTTTCACTAACTTCCTAATTGATAAGTACTGTAGTATCTAACTATATTATGCTATATTCTAATCTAGCTTATATATACTATTATTTAATATTTATACAAATATAATTTCTACTGTAGCTTTTTACTAAGTTAGTTATCTATATCTCTAGATATCATATAAGATAAAAATTCTTAAATCTAGTTAATACAAGTTAGTATTGTTATTAGTTGTCTATATCTTCAGATATTACACAAAACAGATCTTCTCAAATCTAGTTAGCTGTTAAGCCAAGTTAGTATTGCTATATGATCTTGTATAACAGACTTACTTATATCTATTTTATTAATCTTTTTATATACAAATTTTCTAATAGACTTGCTCATATCTAGTTGCTAATATTTTCATATGCAGATTTCCTTTCTCAAATTAAATATTAACTAGTATAACTATTGAAATCTATACTACTTCATCTTAATCAGAAATTCTACTATGCAGATCCTCTGTCTGTAGATCCTATCAAAATTTATTTATATAATATTATATCTCACTAAATATTTTATCATATTTCCAATATTTGAGTAATATTAGTACAATATAATTTATAGAGTTATAACTCTAAAAACAGACAGAATTTATCATAAGTTAGATATAGAAAATCTAAATAATTATTCAATTCTGTTAATAGTGAGATTTGAATTTCAGATCTTTTATATAATAATCTAGTTTTTTTTTTTTTTTTTAAAATTCAGCAATCATGCTAGTACTTTTATTTAATCAAGTCCTAATCTACGATTACAACTA